GTTTAAAACTTGCTGATGTATACCACAAAGAAAGACTCAAACCACTATTGTAAAGAAAAATATGAAAAATATGTGTATATCCTATTTTCATACCTTGCTTAACAGTTACACTATTTATTTAAAAGAGACTTTTCTCTTTTTTGTATGTGGGTAGGGGTACATTTTTTCCTTTTTTTTATTCTTTTCTTTTGTATATGGTAAATGAGTACGTCTTACTATATTAAATATATAAACTAAAGTGCCAAAGTATTGTTAATATTGTAAAAGATAAGTAAAGTATACTTGGATAAAAGAGAAAAGAAGAGACGAACCGTAAAGCGTTAATAAAAGATAAGTAAGAAGAGAAAAGTGTACAGTCAACTCCCTCTATAGTCACTCCCGTTATAGTCACATTCTACTATATAGTCACACCAGTTGAATGTTCAAAACACTTTATTATTAAAATCTATCCTATATAGTCACAATCTATCTATAGTCACTATCACACCTATCCTCAAAAATCTTATATTAAAAAGNAAAAAGAATAGTATTAAAAAAATGTTAGTAAAAAATGGTTAGTAATAGAAAATGTTATTAGTATATTTAGTAGTAAAATATATTAGTAAAAACAAACGTTAGTAGGTTAGAAAAAAGAAAAGAAGTGTATAATATAAATAAAAATTAGTAAAAAATATACCTTTGTATTTATTTCACCTCTTTTTTGAAGTTTGCTGTTTAAAAAAAAAATAGATCTTGTTAATTATTTTTCTTTAATAAATAAAAAAAATAAATATTTAAATTACCTTGATGTGCGTTACTCTCATATTCTTCTGAAGATATATGATTAGATCTTCTTTTTCTTGAGTTTACTATATATAAACCAAATTAATTTTTGATTAAATTTTTTTAAAAAGAATGCTTAGATTACCTTGATATGTGTTGCTTCCAAATTCTTTTGATTTAGAGTTTTTTTTCTTGAATTCGCAGATATAGGATTACCATCTTGATGCACAGTATCAAAAAATGTCTGCCCTTAATGTGAAAGGTACTTAGGAACTACCTTGTTTCCCAATTAATGAGACCCTAAGTCAGAGGAAGCTAGCCTATCGGGTACAAGTACCCTACAACTTCATCCCTAGGTAGTCAAAAATCTCGGGTGGTTCCAGACCACAGCGTACTACATGATTAGTCTTTGGACATGTTGGGATTTGATAAGTGAGAGAAAAAATAACTCCAGCGCCAGCGTTTTGTAAAGAATAATAAAATAATATTTTTAAGTTAGTTCTTTCTTTATTAAATTTTTGAAA